GTCATGTACAGTAGATTTTAAAATCAGTTAGAAAACAATGAAAATAATTTGCTTAGAGAGGAGGAATTATTTTTAAGGGTTAGGGGCATATGTTCTGGTTCAGCACTGGTATTATCACTAAAAAACTCATCTGGTTCTAAAAGCTTAAACATCTGGTGGCTCACAAAATCCAACTTCCATTCACTACTTATGAAGCACTTCTTAAGACAGTCTGGGTGACACAGCAGGTGATTTCTGGAAGTCCGTTTTTTTGGCTTAGGATGAGAGTTGTTCATGTTCACAAACATTGATTAGACTGTAGTAGAACACAAGAATAACATGTGTTTTCTTGAATTGAGTGGTATTCCAGTTAAATGTTGGTCTGTAATGTAGATAATGTTGTTCCAACCATGCAGAGTGTCACTGTTGGTGGTTGGGAAACCTTGCCCATCAATTCTTCATTGCTGACAAGGTTTCCATTAACAAGTTGATGGCTTTAACAGGTTGCTCGTGCATTTCTTCCTCCACCAAAGTCTTCTCACTGCATTCAACTTCAGTTTTTCTGTGGTTAACAGATACACGCACAGATATGCACTGACATACACACAAAACATTTATAAAAGACCTTTGAAACACAGTGATATATTGAAGGACACCAATTTTCATAATTACATCTGGTTCACATTGTCAGAATAATCTTGCTCTTTTTTGTTGTTTTGAGCACAGTCATTATTTTTGACAGTAGTCTGGACTTCAGGGTTGATGTAACTCTGCTTTGACTTACTATAGCATAAATGAAAATATGAAAATCCAAACTCAAGGAAAAAAAAAATAAAATCACAATTACTTCCTCCCTGAGGTAATCACGTAATTACATAATTTGGCATTTAGGAGGAGAACGATACAGGATAATTACGTGATTCCTTGTCATTTGAAAGATTTGCTGGACACCACATCATAAGTAGATATTCATGGAATCAAGATGTGAAAAAGTGTTGGAAAGATATACATTTCACCTTGTGTGCACGCAATTATAAAATCTTTAATTCATTCTAATTCATTCCAAGTAATAAATGATTGTATTTGCACGTATATATTTTCCATATCAGCATCATCCTTATATTAAATCACACTCTCAATTAATAACCTTTGCATGAAGTATTGGAAATGAAACATCATTTATAGAGAGAATAAGGTTTATGTACAAATAATCACTTCTTAAACGACACAATGTGCGTTATGTTTGACACATGGAGTAAGTATGTCCCTGTGTGTAGCCATCATTATTATTATTTACCCTCAGGCTGGACCTCCCGTAGTGAACATGAGAGACTTCGGGCCATCAGAGAGGCTTCATTGTCTTCCTCAACCCTCACGAGTCAGCTTCAAAACAGAGGGGAGATGAAAGGTCAAACAACTAAAACTGGAAAACATTACAGCAGTCTTGTCTTCACTGCTGCAGCTTTGTCTTTTTCTAAGTAAAGCTGAAATGATTATATGGTATCATAATAGCTTTCATAGTTTTATCAAGATCCTGGCAAGTATCTGTGCACCTGAGCTCATGACAAACTTACAACTCCCATCTTCCCCACCAACTCCTAATCCCGGGATTGACAGCTGGGGCCTGTGGGGAGCATGATGAATAATTTGTGGGCAGAAAGAGCTGCAGGCAGGCGGAAAATTCGGAGACAAAAGTAATAAAATGGTGAAGTCAACAGCTTCATGAACTATTTATCTTTCTGGAACCGATATGTCCTCCTTCAGTCTCATTCTGTACTGTTCCACTCTAGCCACCTCACTTGTCAAAGCCCACAGCAGTCCAGGCTTTATTGAAACTTTGATTCAGTTTCTCAAGTTGTCACTTTCTAAGGACTGTGTGCAATAAAGGAGACAGGTTATTGGGGAGAAGAACAGAGAAAGGGAATAATGAAAAAAGAAACCTTTACTGGAAAGAAAAAAGCCATGAAAGCCCACAGTACAGTGTGATCTGAGGTTGGAGGAAGCACAAAAGTTGACAATGATCAATAACATTAATATGGGCTGCTGCAGACAGTCTGCTTCAGGCAGATTAACTATGTGCTGCTGAGAAAGACAATAGACAATAGTGACAGAGTAAAGCTATTGTGTGATATTTAGCCTTCAAAACTTTTTTTGTAGGCTTGCGGTTTCCCAAGTGTGATCCCACTTATCACTTATGGGTTTAAAGTTACATGCATTTATACGAAATGCGGTGGGTGTGGTGGCACATGGAAAACTTTTATTTACAGGTCCAAACTCTTCCTGGAAAGTGTGTTAGACAAACCCATACTGGTCAGGTTAGCTCTGCCCAAACAAATGAGAAGCCAGAGCTTGAAGATACTGCCACAATGGGAGTACTGTGGTTTGCCATCTAAATTTGCGATAAGTCATATACCATTAGCTATATGTTATATATATGTTATATATATATATATGAATATTTATTAAGCACTGAGTGAAAAGGTACCGTCTATAACCTGGATAACTGAATGTTGTGGCAGGTCTTCCAGTAGCATCATCAAGGTTTCTCTCTCTCCGATACCATAACCATACTCAATTATAAAAGAGCACAGGATTCAAGCGTACCCTGACTGGGAAGATACTAAACTAACCCACAAATGACCTTTCACTCACGTGTGTCAGTGCTGGGGCCAGTTACAGACTTTTTTCACTGCAGACTTTCTGACTTGTCATAGCAGGAGAAGCACAGGTGGAACAAATGTTGTTAATGAGGGCTCAGCTCCACCAAGTGTCCCCGTAAGCTACGTCAGTGAGCCAGCACGCACAATACTACCAACCCTGGAAGTAGCTCACCTATATGGAATGCACTCGTTGTGTTATTAATTACACCTGTGCTGTTTCTGCTTTACATGCCAAAAAAATATCTAGTGTGGAAAAGGTGTAATAATGCATGCTGGTCATGTTCATGGTTTACAGGGAAACACAAGTGGAACAGAGCCATAATTAATATTATTAGTTACACCTGTGCTTTTCCTTCCTTAATGAGACAAAATGTCTGCCGTGAGATAGGTTAGAGTAGCTCTGACATATTACCTTATGTTTTCCAGTTACTTGATGTGCCTTAATGAAGAATTAATACAAGCTTTTGTTTTTAAATATTTAAACAATGAATGAAAATATGTTTTCTGTCTGTGTTATTGTGACTATATTTAAAACACTAAATCATGAATCCCAAAAACATATAACATAGTGAAACATTAATTTTTGTATTACACACCTGATATATAACGTTAACTCCTTTGAATGTTGCGTTAATGTTATGTCCAGATAATTACGAACTGAAACATTCTTCTAAATGTGTTCTTAAGTGTAAAAATGTCTTACTATGTTAGTTAATCCAAGTTAGCAAACGTTTAACATAGCTAACATTAGCTAGCTAGCTACCTCACTTGCTTAATACAATAAAAATATTTAGTAAGTTATGTGTATTCACCTTTTATAGCTCCACTGCAACAGCTTGATCGGTACATTACTGTTTTACTGTAATAAAAACTGTAATTACTTGTTTTTTTTCTGATTTGTGTAAACTACAAATATGTTTTATTTTTTTCTGTGACCACAACAAGACGCTGATAATGTTAGCCTTGTAAAGACTATTTATATTGGCTGACATTATGTGAAGTGGCATAACTTGATAAATGTTATAATTAAATAAGAATAAATGTTGTTACCTTAAGGTTGATATCGAAGTAACGCTACATGGAGAGGTTTTCTCAGGAGGTACAGAGTCTGTTTATGGTTTGTCCTTGAGCAAAACACTGAACTCCAAGTTGCTTCTGGTCCTTATATATCACATGCACCCAGACATTTCCATTCAATAGTCTACCAGTAGCATAGACTACACCAAGAAGTCTGTGTGATGTGGAGAGGGTGTTCCTGTCACAAATAAATGATTTTAGAGAAACTGCATTAATGTATTTATATTACAGATCCGTGATCATTTCAGTCCTGGCACTAGTCTGTTTTTACAAGCATAGTTTTTGTATTTATATCTCCATCTGCGTCGCTTCTCTTCTAAATTCAGGACAATACCTTATTTGTCCATATCTGAAGGCTCATAATTCATTAATCCACAGCCTATTTGCTAAAATTACACTACTTCATACAAAATTAACTAGATTTGTTTTAATGAACTAAGTTTTCCTTGAGTCACCAACAGTACCAGAAAGGCATATCCCAGCTTTTTACCCTTACGTGAACTCTTGCTATGCTATATACACTTGTTAACTTTATTTATCTGAAGGCCATTTTAAGATTTAAATAGCTGAGAAAGTGCATCTTCATTACAATCCTATCTGCCATTCCCCACAGAGGTTTAAATCCACATCTGAATGGAAATGGTCTGAAGCAGTTGGCTATCTGTGTTGCTTTTCAGAATGTCAGTAAGCTGTCCCTACGGTCAAACACAAGCATAAAACATTGCTGTTTTCCATGTATCACAGGCCTGCCTCTTACTTTTGACCTATCTCAAGCTTTTAACAAGAGCAAGGCGAAAATGGAGGGGCCCCTGTAGCATCCCTATCAGCAAGTTGACCCCCAGTTGAGCAGAGCCACTTCTATGACTTCCTCTAAAGGGTAAGTACTGTACTGTAACTGGGATGACTCCGCGCTGAGTGCTCTTTCGCTGTCTCACCCTCTTTTCTGCCGCTTGGATTGTCCAAGAGTTGAACCCATCACACCAGGCGGCAGGAACGACAGGAAGTTCATGGTCCCTCTTTTATCATGTTTTATTTAAAAAGCCAGATTAAACATTAAATTCCCTTCAAAACCTTTTTCTCATATGAGAGAGGGGGTCGGGGGGGGGGGCTCTACTGTTGGTGATAGTGTCAAGTTAGCACAGAGAGCTCATAATGCAGTTCACCTCAATTACCTGTCCAAAATATTACTGCTTGCTGCTCGCTGAAGAGTGCTCCCGGACAAAGTGTGTGCTGAAGAGAGACAAACACACAAACCGATAATAAATATAAAAAAGACTGCCTCAAAAACCACTAGGAATACAACTCATTTTGGAATATATTAAACACAGTGGCATGGCAACATTCAGAAAGGCTTCTTTCAAAGACAAATCTATTTTATTATTTTGTGGATTACATTTGAAAACCTATGGAGAATGATTTATGTAATTAGTTGGTCACTTTAAGAAATCAAATCAATAGTCTCATGTTTCTATGAGATAAACATATGCAGAACCTAACAGACCTGCATCTTACATAAGGTCCGTGTGCATTTAAAGGCTTACCTTCTGGCTTTAAAGTACTTTGGTTGTGACTGTAAACAAATAAAACAGCCTGTATCCCGTTCCCCTCCTACAGCTGAAGTACATCCACTGCAGGGAATTGAGCACTAGGTTTTGGCCACTCTACATCCTGTACCTTGACAATGACACCAGCTGCTGCTTAAAAAAGTGGTACGACATAAACACTGGCACCAAAAGACAGAATAAAATAAAGCTCATATGTATTTATTGGTGCAATGCCTGTATAAAACACTGTACATTTTGAGATTGGCATATAGAACCTACGCTCATTCTTTGTGCATATAGGCGCTCTACACATCACAGAGATGTAGTTTTCTTAGCTTTTCTTTGTCAGTCAGATTATTGCTGGCTACATGTGGGTGGATGTGGACATGCATGTGTTTGTGAGTGTTCTGAACTGAATGAAATGTGAAGGTGAGTCAGCGGGGAGCTGATGTTGGAGTGAGCAGGATAGATGTGCGCACAGCAGACAGCCTCGGATCCATCATCAGCTTGTCTAAATTGAGCTCCTGGGTTTATTCAGTGTCGAGTATACCTGCAGTATAGTGCCCTTTACAAGTCTCCGCTGTACAGGAGGCCATTGCAGAGAGGTCACTGTAGTAGCTTTGTTAACACATGAACGCATACATGAACAGTACACGAACACACACACATGCACTACACATACTGTTGCTGAGCAGACCTGTGCAGAGGGCTAAAATAGGAACAAAGCTGTAATACCGGGGTGTTACAGGAACACATTCGTTGAATGCTGTGTATCAGACAGACCAGCTGTGTGTCTAGACACTGTTACTTAGCACTTTAACAGGACAGATGTTACATGCATTTACATTTCTACTTTCAAGAAATACTGTATACAGCAAGTGTTTTGTGTGTGAAGACACATGAACAGCCAGTAGAACAGCAAAGCATCCTATGTATATTAGCTTGACAGAAATGTTGTATTTATAATATCAAAGATACCAAAACGGTTAGAGTTTTAAGAGGGATGGCAAGGAGGGACTATTTTATATCTCAATTATTCATTAGTAAAAATGGAAAAAACACATTTTTACCTTGGTTTGTTTGCTGAGAAGCCTTTGTGTGTTGACACAGCTGTTGCTGCACTTTATAGACACTACGAGCCCATCATGTGCTTCCCCTCAAAATTCAATACCTGGCTTTAAATCTGCTTACATACATCCTTCAGGTTCAACAGCAGCCAATTCAGTTCAGGGTGGAGGTAAAAAGGGAAAAAAAATTGCCTTGTATCTTGCTGCATCAATCCTGTCAAGAAAAATGGAGGTGTGGCAATCCACACGTATTATATTTCTATTGTACATTTCAATAATTGATTGGTTTGTATCAAGATCAGGTTAAGACATTGATAAATATACTGTGGGGAAAAGAATAATTAAAACAAGGCTAGAAATGATTTATTTACACTTTATACTTATCTAATATCAAACATACACTTAAACGGTAGGTACCGTAGTTCAAATATGTCAACCATCCACTCTAGGGCTTTAAAAACTAAATTTACAAATGCAAATCAATACCTCTTTGAATTGCTGTAGTCATCCTAAATATTAAGTTGTTACATTAAGTCAAGCGATGTCAGTCATGTTTGTTTCCAGCGGCCTATCAGTGTGTCATCGATTCCTGATGGTATTAAGGGATTAAAAGGTTCCCCGTCCTCTCCGTGTTGTTGACAAGCGTTGTGACTCATTACGGCCATTAGCATTAAGCTGGCTCATCAATAAGCACTTGGCTGATCTATCAGTCTTCCTCAGATGTAGCCCAGGGGACCCCGCCACAGGTCCCTGCCAGCTCCAAGAGCGGCCTCATGGGCACCCTTGATCTGTCGGTCACCACACACACACACACACATACAAACACACACACACACACACAGACACACATTCACCTACCCTGGTGTTTGCCTGACAGGGAGGATTCAAGTGTCACTGCGAGCCTCTCTGCGATAAAGTTCTTTGTTGATGCTGCTGTAAGTGTTGTGTCAGTGTAACCACTTCTGCTTGTCAGCATGTTAGTGTTAGTCAGTGCACTCTGGTTTGTCATTTTGTTTTGTATTGACTTGATCATCGAGGCCTTGAATGTGTGTGTGTGTGTGTGTGTGTGTGGTTACACATGCGTGGGCGACAGAAAATGCAGGGAGTCTCTCCAAGTTAGTGTTTTGCTCTGTGTCCATCAACTTTAGTAATGTCTTGTACAGTATTTTCATTTATGTCTGCCATGTAGGTGTCTGTATGTGTCCGACTGTGTAAGTGTCGGAGTATGGCGGTGTCAGTGTCAGTCAGTGTGAGACTGTGCAGTGTCAATGTATGACAGCCAGCTGTAGTCTGATGCGATAGTGTGCCACTGTGAATGACAATGTCTCGACTTAGAAACCAGTGTGTAGTCTTTGAGAGGGAGTGTGTAAGAGACAGCACCAAAAATAGACAGGAAAACTGGATAGATGGGTGGAGGGTGCTACAGTTCATCATGGAGGGCCTCTCCCTCTGCATGGTCCAGAGCTCCCATCAGCAGCAGGGCCCCAGTAGCGTTATCTCTAACGAAGATGATGAAGGGGTGATCGGCGTAGAACATCTTGGGCTTGTCTATGTTCTCCTCCTCGAGTTCTGCGTCTCCTTTCCCAGCTTGAGCGGCCAGCTCCAGGGAAGCCCACTGGAGGACTCCGCCCAGGTGGAGTTTCCCCTTGCTCTTGTCCGACACACCAGAGAAATCAGCTGCTTTCTGGTCCCACGCGTCAGTCAGGCCCAGAGCAGTCAACTGTTTCTGGAAAACACAGTGATGGGATTTATGGACTGCCTTGAATCAGTTCTCCAAAAGCATGAGACCGTCCCAAATAGAGACGTACCGCAAGTGTATGAGAACGAGCAGCTGCCAGGACACTGATCAATTATGCACGCAAGAAGACTAAACAACAAGTAGGAGGGAAAGCACATTTTAAAATTTCATGATGCTGTGACCTTCAGAAGTGGGAGACATGTGCTGCGCCTCGCCACATGATTAATGTAAACATAAACATACCCTCCAAAACAGTCAATCAGTAACTTCTCTAAAGAAGTTTTTCACCATAATGTTTATTTACCTTCTATACCAAAAATTCGAGATGGGAAGGAGGCTGACAGTTGCCCTTGTTGTGAGCTGGCAGAACAAAGTGGGCGACAGGCAGAGAGGAGACGGAAGGAGGAAGCAGAGGATGAATAATTTAAGAGTGATGCCCCGTGACCTCAGCACCTCCTTTGTTTTGCCTCTGATATGAATTCCACAGAAAGTCGTCGTCATGACAGGTAGTTTATCCTCCCATGGCAGAGGGCCACTCACAGTGACAGGCTTCTCCAGGGGCCAGATGAGAGCATGTGTGGGTGTGAGTGTGTGACTGTGTGGACTTGTGTGTGTGGATGCGCGGAAGGCCCAGGCTGGAAGAAAAGTTGCAGAGGAAGATGAGTGGGTGAGGATCTTGTTTTCTGGCAAACTTTAGCTGATTAAACTTCATTGGCAGACAATAATGCAATGTTATTTGGATGAGTTGTCGGGAAATGTTACGTGGGTGATGCCTTGCTGGCTTTCTTTCCAAAGCCACATTGTTATAGCTTAGCTCATGCTAATGGGCAAATGTAATAACCCATGTAGAATGTCTGCTTTCCTGCTTAAAAGATGAGATGTGCACGCAACAAGAAGTTAAAACTGGATCATGTCAGCTTATGCCTGAACATGAAATAAGCAGATGTATATGCAGTTGTAGGCATCTGCCATTCTCTTTCCAATGTTTTCATGCAAAGCTCCCTCTCCACATAGACACCACCCCCTGCTCTAATGCACTTCTATTGTCCTCATCCATTATTCCTCCTCTCTTCCTCTCTTCTTGCACCCGCTACCACTACATCACTGTCTTCCTCCGCTGCTCTGCCACTTCCCTGGCATCCCCATCCCTCATCTGCCCCGCGTGCCTCTATTTTATCCCACTCTGTCTCTCTCTCTCTGCTCCTAACTCAGTCTTTTTCCTCCCCGCCTCATCCTTCTCTTCCCTCTGACAGGCCAGCTCGCCCGGTTATACGTCGCTCGCTCAACTTCTCGATCTACATCGGCAATGATTTCAAGGTTTTCCGCTTTTTATCTAACGGGGGAAACAGAAACAGACTTAAGCCAGTGGATTCCTAAAATTGTTTAAGACAAATGTGTGCATTAAAAAAAAGCAGCTACTTTCTGTGTCTCTCTGTGTCACTCTCATCCTTACTCATTCTCTCCACCAGTATTCCTTGAGGATCCAGCTCACTTGGCCTACAGTAGTGCAGGTACAACTATAAAGAATATAAATAGTACCAACCAACCCCACATGACCTAGCACTTCTCTTCCACTCTCTTACTCTGCTTGTCAAGGCAAAAGCACTTGGTTAATTTTTTTTTAAGCCGCAAAGTGTTTAAAAATTAAGGGACCCCGTGGCTGCCAGCTGGGAAACAGGCCAGGGGTTTCAGAGGAGCCTATGGAGGCCTTGTGCACCGCAGAGGTGTGGCACTGCATTATATGGGCAGAAAAACCTCTGGGAGGTGCTCTTTGGCTGCCCTTTCTCTCTGAAGCGCTACATGAATCTTAGATGGAACAGCACTGGGCGGACTGCTGATGCCTTGCACACAGCATCAACGAGCTATTTGTCTGCGAGTGAGAGCCACAGGCATTGTCAGCTGGTAGTTTCCTCTGTGTGTGTGTAGGGCTTACTTGGCCTACAGCGGTGTGACAGTCTAACCAGGCCTGCGGTAGCATGGCGTCAACCCTCAGGCATGCAGCACTCCGCATCACATTATTTCAGCTCGATGGTTGGGCCCACTAAGTAGCTTGTTGGGTGTACCTGTGGGGGTTTTAAGTGGATAGGTTGTGGCAGCCAGGACATGTTACTGTGAGGGGTCACTGTGGCTGATGTTAAGTGACAGAGCAGCCTTAATAATGACAATGGGGAAGAAAGAAAGGAGAGAAGAAAAGCAGAGATCAAACGGAGACTACTGCCAAAGAGAGCTCTTTTATATTAGCTGCTGCTTCCAACTGTGGAACATGAACTGGAAAAATACTTTAACATTATGAAACATTATTTTTTTGTCTACACAGTCAAATAGCAGCTAAAGTCATAAATTTATCACTAGGTAACTTCCAAAATCCCATGAAAAACCTTGTATGGCTGTGTATAGTCCTGAATGGGCTTGTGTAACTAGTTCTTATAATAGTTTTTATGGTCTTATGGGATGTTTAATGTCTGTGAATTGCATATTGCATTTATTGCTTTGGGAAATGCAATAGAGCCAAAACAAATGTCCCCAAAGGTACAATTAAGCATGTTCTTTTCCATTGTATTCCACAAGGATTCGAATATTTCTGTTCCTGTACAAAAACAGAAATGGACATCAATCAAAAACAGTCTACTTTGCTAATTATTGTTGCAATTTGCAAAGAAGAGGCAAAGAGACAGAGGAAAAGCACTACATTTGGATGAGATAGTGGATGAAGAGAAAGTGAGCGTGAGCAAGAGTGAGAGTGAACTCGAGCAAAGCTACGGATAAAATAATTCTAATGGCACATCGCAATATTATACTTAAGGCTGTAACTAGCACTTATTTTCCTTATTGATATTCTGGATAAATCATTGGATCTATGACATGATGATCTATGTCAGAAAATGGTGAAAAAATGGCCGTTATAATTTCCCAGTGCCCAAGATGACGTCTTCAGATGGCTTGTTTTGTACAATCCAAAACTCCAAAATTTCCAGTATTCAAAAACGACTAAAATGATTAATTGAATATGTGATGTCCGTAGTCTCAATTCTGTTGCAAATACCAAGTATGTTAGCACCCCGATAGCCAAATGGTTACAGTGCATGCAACATCCCTGGTGGAAACTGTTGTTGCATGTCATCCCCCTCCTTCTCTTCAGTTGTTTCCTGTCTGCCTCTTCACTATCATTTCACTGCTGTACAATAAAGGGTGCACGTAAAGTGCATTTTTAAATTATTAATGAGAGCACTGGGCATTAATGGGATCAAAAGGCAAATGGTTCAAATTCTTCAATGCCCCACATGGAATAATTTTATCTCCACACTGATCCTGACTAAAACAAACTAGGTCCAACCTGGTCCAATCAATTGTGACGCCTACATAGTGAGTATAATCAGCCCAACAATCGTAAGAAAGCAGTAAAAATCTCCTTATCTACACTGCTTCTGCACAGTTTACACCTCCTGTTTCCTCTGGCTTACCAATCAAACCTACCCAAAGACTCTTGTAAGGTGCTGTCACCTTTCACAACTACAAACATGTTCTGTTTAATTCAATACTGCCCTTAACATCCTGCGTGGGATGTTTCAAGTATGCAGTATGTGTCACTGGCATCATCACAGCTCCATTTCATGGAAACATTTGATGCAGTCTTTAAAAAAAAAAAAACCTTTCTTATTCTATCAGCTCTCTTGAGGCTTCAAAGCCTTTCCAGCTCTTTATTGGGTCTCATCAGCAAAACCGCTATTGGTATCTTATTTACATGGGCTTTTACCTCATCTGCAGGGTCAATACGCTCTCTGTGTCTCATTCACTCGCTCATATATACACATGAGCCGCCTTTTATTCCACAGGGCAATTTCACCACGAATGAAAAAGGAAAAAGAAGCCTTGGCTTTTAGTGAGATATTCAATTAATGGCCATTAAACACATCTGATTAATTCATATGATGCAGGGCTGTGGTGGCTGTGTTAAAACAGCTGTCCCTCGACACTGTATACTGTGGAGTGTGCTCTTGTAAATATTTGATGGCCTTTTGACCTCATTAGCCGTGATTGAGTGAGCTCTCCGGTGCACACTCATATGTCTTAGTCACCGACATGAGATACAGCCAGAATGGAGCTCAAGCTTGACCATTAGTGTGTATGTGTGTGTGTGTGTGTGGCCTGGTCAGCACTGGATCAGAGACAGGGGGAGAGAGCGATGAGGGTGGTTTATTCAGTGACCTCCGGGCCAGGCTTGTTAAGAGGGTTCTCCGTCTCTGGCTACAGACTCCGACACAGTCTGCCCTTCACCAGAAGAGAACACCACAAATAGGGAGACGTTAAGAAAGAAAAGGGCAGAATTCTGCAGCTATTTATAGTTCTCTGTGACACTTTCCACCTTGTCCTCGACCAATCATTGACCCCCCTCTCGTCCTCCTCCACCTCTCTTGCTCACTTGCCTGCCGAATGTCATTCCTATTTAGGTCAGCAGAGCCAATGTGATGCTGAGTGATGGCGCATTACAGTCACATATGAGACCTACAAAAAGGAATTAGATCTCTGGGACTGATATGACAGAGGGGATGGAGGTGAAAGAGGGAATGGGCACGTTTGGATGTGGCAAATCCATGCGACTCAGAGGTGCGTACGTTTGTTTGTTCTCATTTGCCTCACAGAGGACACGAGTGTTAGGGCTGACATACGCACACACACTACTATGATCTTTTGTTTGTCCAGATGCCGTCCTCTAATCTCAGGAATCCATGGCCGTCCCAAGCACTGACAGACAGAGTGGTAAACAGTATTAACACACGGTGATGAGCAATTATTTGCCCGACCCAATTGGAAAAATGATTGTCAGAGAAGACATGGCTGGCTGTCAGTGGCCAGAGGGGTTGGACAGACAGACAAAATGAGATCGGAGTGGGTTGAGGGTTTGTTCAGAGCATTAGCCCGTTCATAATGATTCCTCAAATGAACTTCTTTTTCTTGAGAGAGCAAACAGAGGGAGACAACACGTGACGAGTCGGAGAAACAGAGGTCAAATCATTCAAGTGCTTGTCCATAATTAGGTCACATAATGAGAGCGCAGAACAGCTACTTCGAGTTATTTACAGGTAAAAAAAATGTTTTTTCTTCTGTCTGGCAGACTCTCCTGCAAGAGAAAAAAAAGGGGATTTGTGCAACAGTATGTTTCCTGATCTTTTCCCTGGCAAAGTCATTGCCGTGTCAAAAGCAGTTGTTTCAAGCTTTAGTTCTAGATTACAGCCTCCTCCCCAGAGTGTCCTGACAATGTTAATGTCAAAAGCTTGTTCTTCAGGGCATGGCTAGCAGAATAACATGGCAGCACAACTCTTCAGAGATGTTTGTGAAACTAGAAAGGGGCAAAGTGGATTTCATCAGTCCATGATGAGGTTACAATGTACATGTAAAGAGGACATGGTATTAGGTTCCAGTCAGTGTACAGGGCCCTGGGGCAATTGGCTTTACTGGTATGCCCTCTGTATGTGTCAGGTTCAACTAAACTCTCTCTCTTTCTCTCCTTTTCTCACCCTATGTCTTTGTCACTCATCCACAACTGTTATACTACTAACTCCTGTATCCCTCTCTCTGAATCAAAGGGTGTGTTCAGACTGAACGTAATGCAAATTTAGAAGCTATGATAGCATACAAAGTCAATGGAAAGATGCAAGAGGATGCAAACAGACAGAAATCGCTCTAAGTTGTGAGGTGACGATGCATTGATGCCATTTGAAAATGTTTAAACTTAATGAAAATAAATTATGCTGATCCCAAGGTTGTATGGCTCTGCTTTATAACTGTAATGCCTTTACAATCAGAACACAGACTCTGTACAAAATAATCCAGTTATCAAATTTGTGCAAATAATGCAAGGTCACTTTGCATATTAAGGTCTCTTACTTGTGTGTAACAGCAAGTACTAAAGGTGTCCCGAGCCATATGTTATAAATATTTTAATGGATCACCACAGTCTTAAATACCAAATCTTTCGTTACTGTGTTTTGCTCATCTTAGCCAGGCCCTGCAGCGTTCGCATTTAGCTTGCATATGCAAGTGAACAAGCTAACAAATCTGTTACAGAATCTTTTCTCCACTCTCTTTCGTATTAGCATAAAACAGGGGACAAAGCATTCATGTAGAAGCTTCTCATTTTGAGCCGGTGTTGACCATGGGTGTCACTTTTGCCAGTTTAAATGGCAAACATTTCCTTTGGAAGGTCATATCAGCTGTAGCTAATTTACAGGAATTCTGTAAGTAACTTGAAATTAAACTTGGCTGTTGTCAGGTTTGTCTGCTCTCTGCAAGGCGATGTCTGTACACTAATAATAATTTGTGAGGGAAGAACCTCCACTCTCTGTACCACCACTACACACAAACACCAACAGTGTCCATCTATTAAATCAGCTTTATAGTGTTAAACCATGACCATCAGCATTTGCATCATGTAGCTGATGAAAAATAACTTGTTTCAAATTTTGTAGGCTGCACCTTTTTTTTCAATGTTTCAAAAAAAAATTTGATTGAGACATCCCCAGTGAATGCATTATTTGGTAAACTGCAAATGAAAAACTTAACCTGTAGAACTATGACTGCAACTAATGTCAGTACAATAAGCTTGGAAAGGAAACTTTCTTTTTGCCATGACCCCCATCAGCAGGCCAATCTCAGAGGCTTGGAGGCCTGTGTGATTCTAGCAACTTGTCTGTGCCCTTGCCCCTGCTATGGACCCTGTGGCCTGGTCGAAAACATGCTCTTCTGCTAGCTCGACAACTCTCCAACCTTCCAGTCAGCAGCCCAACACAGCCCCGGTCTGGCCTATTTGAACCTAAACAACCCCTGTGCACTCACATTAGCATCAGAAGCCACTAAGCTACTGCCTGTCGGCTTGGTGCTCGTCCTGGCTTACTCTTTTCTGACTCAGGCCAGCTACCTGTTGCCTCTGGGGTTAACAGGAGCAGAAATACGGGCAGACTACCAGCTGGGCTGTGGCATGACCTTTGTGGTCTTGCAAAGGGAGATCTGTGGTAGACTTCTGAAGCCCACCTAGCAGCTACAGGCCTTGGTCATCCTCAGGCCCCTCAGGGTTTGATTCCCTGCTGTTACAGCCCAACGCTGGGTGTACAGCTGGATGCCCATCATCTCAAAGGAGAGAGGAAAAGTGTGGCAAGGAGTGACATTCAGACTCTACTGAGAGAGTCTGCATTGAACTAAGAGGGGCAAGTCAGGTCATGGCTTCACTTGCTAACCAAATTCCACCAGAAGAGTTTCAGAAGCGTGTCTCCACTCTGCCCTGCTTAGAATACGTGGCTGGTCTATTTTTGACGGAAGCCGCAACCCACTCGCGTCAAGCAGCACAGAGCAGATCGCACTGGCAGGAAGTCAAACACAGAAACAGCATGGAGATGGCCAGTTTTACTGTATTGAGTTTCGTGCTAGATCAACATTGTGGCACCAGGACAGAAGTCAGAGGCAAGTGACAGGAGTTATATTTTTTAAGGACAAACTAAACAAGTAAATAACGTTGGGCACAAAACACGCTCTGAAGACGCTGTTTCTGAAACGCTCTCTGTGGTATTTGAAGACGTGCGGCTCACAGAGCCAAACTGCGTTGCAGACGTAATGTCACAAAGGCATGCCCGGTGGAATTTGGGGTAGGAGCACTAAAGAGGCAGAGGAAACAGTGAGTAGAGGTAAAGAATGCATGGAGGGAGAAATACACAACATAGAGGCAGAGCAGCAAGGCACAAGGACAGAGAGAGAGGAGGCGACACAGCCAAGTGAGGAGGAAGGAAAAAGACATATGAATAGGGGAAGAAAAAGAGAACCAAGATAAGCAGAGTGCAAGTCAGGAAGAGAATGTGGCCAAGACAGAAGCAGGGAACAAAGTAGAAGAGACATGGATAAACCAAAGAAGAGGATGAAGAAGGCAAAGAAACAATGAGAATGATGACTGGATTTCTTGGAGATATGAGAAACCGTATCAGGTGAAGTGAAAAATGATGCAGTGTGTGGAGACAGGAAATGAATGAAAGATAGAAACTGAAAGAAGAAACTACAATCAAGGCTGCATGCAGTATCCACTCTGTCAAATTCCAGTATGGTATTAAAAAGCTGAGCCACCACTTCTTCATTGCACATTTAATATGCTGTATAAGCACATCACCTCAGTCCACTGGTAAGAAGAAAAAGACAAACTGAAACAAAACAAGCAGTATGACTCCCACAGGAACACCTGTAGATCCCCCTAAAAAGAAAACACCACAAACCCCATTGTCAGGGCAGGTGAGGTGACTCTGGAAATTAGGCCAATTCAGGATGGGCTGCGTCTGGTGGGAATGGAGCACCTGGTTGTTCACACTCACTCCGAAGATTTGCCAGAGCCAGACAAGGCCTTGGGGGAAATTCAGGAGCTGCGACCGTATGTGCACCACAGGGAGGGGAACAAGGGACACAACAACAAACCTAGACGATGTACCTCACATAAATACATGACCTAAACTGGAACATGGTGTCACAGATGGACTTCACGGTCAGTGACATAAAGACAACTATTTAAGCCCCTCTGATCACACTAGTTTTTCAGCCCATCAGCCAAGTCTTTTATTCAAACATTTCAAAGTAGTTTTACAGATAACACTGTGCCTGCCATAAAACATAAGCATGATGCATTAGCCTGAACTATATAGTATGGAACTCAACAGTTTATAGAGCCAAAAACATTACAATGTATTTTATATAGAACTGGAGAGTATCATGGAGCAAGTTGTTCAAACTTTGAGTTAATAATTGATTGAGGCTGAGGTCAAGTTTCTCCCATTTTAAAGGGTTAGTTTGGTTTTTGGGGTTGTATGAGTTTGGAGTCCTGGTACGGACACCAAACAATGCATTGCTGTGTAAGGAGAAAAACATATTTTAGCAACATAAAAAAGGCCCACTTGAAAAATTAAAAAATTAAAATTATATCAATTTAAGTGTGCACTATTTTTAAAACATTTCCACTGCTTTACTTTGCAGTTAGACAGTCCTTTCCTTTGGCACAGCATTTTCTCAACCATAGACCTTTCGTATTCCTACACGAGCCCAACTGTGTCACACACTGTATTACACTGCAGATCAGCGGTCGGGTCAGAAAGTTGCAAGATCAGACTGAAATCAAACTTTGTGTTGTGTTTTTCCAGGCTGATCAAATAAAGAAGTGTCCTGGTCACCATATAGATTTCACTGTGTTCTGTTGAGTGATATTGGCCTTAGACGGCTGTGGCTGTAGTTACCGTGCTGAGACAGCACTGAGGAAATAAGTCTGGCTTTGGCAGACTAGTTTCCGCTCTCTCTTTCAGCCGGTTCAATATTCATTTGCAAAATTTCTTCTTCTGTATACCCTTATTCTCTTTCCTCCAAAGTGAACGACATTTCACCGTCTCTGTCATAATCACTCATTTTTATTTTCTTGTATTTGTTTTCCTCTTCCATAAACCACTTTAAGTCTGGTCCAAACTGCTCATCTGTGGCGTAATATAGTGGGTGGCACAGTTGTGCTTATGCTTAGCAATACAGAAGTTTTATGGTTGAGAAAATGTAGTAATAGTACCAAAGGAAATGGCATGCACTTAAAATACCAAAACCAAACCATACTTGGGGCCTGCTGACCGCCATACACAGTAAAACATTGACTATGGATAAGTACCTCAAACAACCCCATTTCAAAAAAACGGAACTAACCCTTTAATGTAAGATGTCTTAATGCCTGTTTCACTAGTATGACTGATGAGTAGTATCACAATAACTTGTCCTAATTTTAAATTCATCATTATAGTTTTGAGTTCTCACTTTACTTTTCAGAAGATACATGCAAGTATTTATTTAGAAGTTTGTTGTACCAACCTGCAGACTGAGTGTGCTGGTGATGTTCGCTATGGGCAGCGAGATAATCACACTAGTCATATTGGTCTTTTCCAGCCACTTGGACAGCAACTCAAGGGTCAGAAGCTTGTCCATCCTCGTCAGACTGTCAACATGGAAGGGCATCAGGAGCACCACGCTGGCCTTCCCTTCCCAGAGAGGCATCTCTAGAACCTGCACCATGTTTTCCATGTCTTCGTGGTGACGGTACAAACCTGGAAAAAAGGACAGGCAGAGGCATGCACAGAGTTGAGGAAAGATCAGATAGTCAAGAAGAACCGTTGCCATACTGTTCAATTTTTGCAGCAGTAGTTCAGAGCAGTAGCTCCCTACAGCAGTTCTCCTGGAAGTTAGTTCAGACTTGCATTTTCAGCTGTGTCACTGCCATTATTTGGTACCACCTGAGTTCTCACCTGCCTAACTGAACTGAACAACAGGGGAAAACACTACAGAGTGGGATTAAATCCAGTCAAACAATATGTGAATGCAATATTACACAGGATGACAATAGATCACTAGAGTCATCTTTTTCATGAATTGTAAATGGCATCACATAAGATTAAATAGAATACAATGTATCCTTCCAACATCTTTTACTGCTGCTGTCATAAAAGAAATTCACTCTCCCTTGTTGTTGTTTTAAGACAATACATAAAATATAAAAAGGGTGTTAAATAAATCATAAGGTACACAGTGATAAATAGGAGGGAAGCAGATTGGACCTTACAGATGTTCAAGCCATTTTAGAACTCAAATTGCTTTTCGCTGCATTTATTTGCTGGCAGGAGTACAGCAGCGACAGACTGTGTTTTTTACCTGCTCTGTGCATCATCATCACTTTGGTGTATTTCTTTCCCAAGAAGGTACGACGATCTGTGCTGTCCACGCTGAACTCTCTCTCCCACAGCCCTGAACAAACAGCCATACAAACACAGAGGCATTTTGAATACCGAATGCCTGACATGGATGGGCTGTAAGAAAATACCGAACGATTGAAATAGGCGAAATGTGGACATAAGGTTAAACAATGCCATGTTCATAAATACATATAGACCTGGTATGCGGTGACACCTGCTGACACTGCTCAAGAATTATCAATATCTACTGCCCATTAAAAAATGTCTACTCGTTTCAAAAGGTGCTGAGTTGAGAGTGCTATACTGAGGCAGTTATGAGGTCCTTAAGGCCACAGCATCCCATTCTCTGTTCACCACATCCCACTTTGCCCTGCTAACCCCATGACAGCTGTCAATTTAGGAGGAGCTGAGAGCAGTGGAATTACTGTTGTAATAACCTCACAACACTTTCCCAAAGCCGCTGGCCCATTCAGTGGTGCAGGGGACCCTGGATGGAGCGAGGAGGTCAAGAGATTATGACTTGTACTTATGTCACTCTTTGTGAATGACACCTCGGGCCGGCTAGCACTGCAACTAACAATGATTTCTAATGATCAATTAATCGTTGAAAAGGTTGCCACACTCATGACACAATACTAAGGTGCAAGAAGACCAAAATGATGAAAGTCTAGAGAAAGACTCCTTGGCTTTATCATTAAATACTTGCACTGGACAAAGTGTTCAGAGCCTTCTATTCTCTAAATTATCGATATTCAATTAGTCTTTAAAATGAAAGAATGAAATGAATGAAATTGTGAAAAATACCCATTTCATCTTTTCTTGCTCGCTTTGTCGAACAAAAAATCCCACACAATTTAAAATACTCAATTTATGATATAAAATAGAGTAAATCTTCTCAAATGCCAACTATTCTCATTTTTCACTTTCATTTTGTAATTTAATTTTTAAAACATTTTTAAATTAATTTTCTTCAGAAAAAACAGAGGCACAGAAGACATTATATAACTGTTTTCACATGCTGACTGGTATTCTTTGACTAGTAAACTGAACTTTGTGTTAAATTGGAGCTGCTTTACATTGTTTCATTTATTATGAATACTAATGTAGAGTAATTTTCTGTTGATCATTTAATGGACTAATTGTGAATTTCCCAAAAACCACCCAGCCTCCATTGGACCCAGCCAATCACAAGTCCCAACATGTGATTCTCCCTCGCAGGCATGCTAGTGCAAGTCACAGACATTCGCTCCGCTTCCTATAGCATCAGAGAGTGAAACACGATCACACTGGAATTTAAAAACAACTGGCTGAAGATTACCTGAAGTGGCAGCCGTGTGGTTGAAATGATGTCCTAATGATGAATAATTTCTCCACGGTATGTGTTCATATGTGTGTGTAAATGCCAAAACGTTGTATCGAGCGGGGATTTAATGACCTCAGCAGCCTGCACAGCGGACTCTGTTGATCTCTGTGTGTGGCTGTGTGGGCTAGTGTCTAGACGAGCGGGCCTGCTTTGGGTTTGCACTACATTATCTTCTTTTATAGGACAGCACTGCAGCGGAGAGATCACTTGAAACCTGAATCCATTAATATCCACCAACAATAAACAATGAGACAATTGCACAGCTAAGAAATCCAATCGCTTACAGACTTACCAATACATTCTGTAAACTTGAGGCAAAAAGAGGAGAATCAATGAGACCGACCGGCTCCCTCTCCTCCCTCATCAACTTTTGATTACAAGTGGTTGTGGTATTTCAGAAGCTATTATTAGAGGTTAAATATGTGGGGACTTGTTGTTCTCTCTCGCCTTTTCTTTCCTCTTCTACTTCCCCGTGTTGTTGCATTATCTTCTGTCGAAGTTTCTCTTTACTGTTTTTTTTTTTTTTTCCCCCACAATTTTATTTTTCTTCTTCCGTCTCCAGTGTTTGTTTGTCTAAAACAGGAACAAAGCCTGAATTAATTAACTAGTGTGGACTAGCACTCCCAAGGTAGGCCTTTTACATCCATCCTCTATGTCTGTCAATCTCGTTCGCTCTCTCAGCAGGCCACCCTCTCTTTACTTTTCTCAGTTTTTGCTCTTTACTTTTCTCCCATTTCTTTCAGGCTGCATCTCTTTGTCCCTCTTCCCACCCAGAAATCTCTCCTTACACTGCTCTTTCTCTGCAGTCCTCTTGCCATTCTCTTTGCTTTTAACATCTCGCTGCTAAAAACATGTTCCATTACTAATTGCCCCGACCTTCTCTTTCTTTGAATGCTGTGTACAGCTCAGGGAAGGAGGGACAACGAAGAGCTTTTTAAATTCTCCCCTTTAATAATTAACTAAAGGGAAGCAAACAAAAATGGGCGAGGAAGCAGATGTCTGATGGTTGCCAAAAGAAATTACAGCACCATCTCTGAAACCATTACATTATCACACACTAAGAATTGCCTTAGGACCCAGAAATCAAAGGCAAATAAAAAAAAGTTACAACAAGCGAGGAGCAGCTAGCAGGAACAAGAAGCAAACTATCGACCACTTTTAAATTATGAATCAAAACTAAAGGAATCCAATTTTCTGTAATCTAATTTGTGCGCTGCAATCTGCTGTATAATCTAATTTGTATATTTCCTCCACAAAATTAATGAACCAACCAATGAGGGTTGGTTCACAGTAAAACTAATTTTGTAATGAAGTCAAAACATCAAACAAAGAAAATTAATTAAATTGCTTATCAATGTATAGTCTGTCAGGGAATGTTATTTTCAAAAAGCTGTCTATCTATTGGCAACCTGTTTTCACTTGCGCAGCCTTGCCTTCTTTGCACCTAATAAAAAGAATACCTGCAGGAGGCAACAGACGGGATAGAGGCAGATAGAAACAGATAAGGATGTGAACAGGAGCCATGTGGGATGAAGAAGAAGGAGAGGAAGAAGACAGGGGTAGATTAGACACGCGATAAACAATGACAAAAGCACAAAAAACAGAGAGAAACGCCACAAAAAGAACAAGTGAAACAGAAGGATATATTTAACACATCATCATCTTTTGTGTAGACTGCAAACAAAAATGAGATCCTACGTCAGCGGGCGCACAAATGTTGGCTGCGCTCGGAGAAAGAGAGAGATGGTAGATTACATTCTTGAAAAGTTATCATGAAAATGGAAAATAAGCTATTTCTTTGACTCATGATGAACTAAACTCTAGCTGTACGAACACGGACACCCTTTAACAGCCGAATAGAAGTTCAAATTAGTCTACTTTTTAAAGGGGCACAATGATGAACGATGAACTTCAGATCAGGATTATATGGATATGTTTTTGGAATGCAACTGTTCAATCACAGATGGGGCTTATAACTGACTGCATTCGTACTGAAACACTGACTAGTTTCCACCACTGCAGCCCGTCACAAAGAACAGATCTGAGCCAAGCTGTGCCGCCGCAGACTTGGAGCGCTCCAAGCACAGATGTTAGGCATGACACCGAGGGAGAGAGTCTGGACACTTGTTACTCAATTATTTAAGATGACACATCACCCCCCAATGGAAGATGAATAAGCTCTCAGTGATAGACCCCAGAATCATCCTTTATCTGCTGTGTCCACCAGCTGGAGTCCACCGCACGCACGCACACAGAAACACACACGGACACGCAGTCAAGCACACTGCACATGGGTGGGCATGCTGGCACACACAATGTAGTGGGCAAACTGGCTTGCAGGCTCTCCGTGCGGCCTGAACACTGAAAACATTACATGTGCATGCCATATAAATATTCTAAGATTTGTCATCCAGTGCAGCAAACAACTTCAATTCGGAGACATTGCATAATCGCAAATGACTCGACGATTACAAAGCACATCAGTCTATATTACAGCATTAGTCAGCCCAGCCTCTCTGCTGTGTTACGTGTCTACAGCCAACCAGTTATGCCAGTGGATACTCACCATAATGAAATATTCAGTTGGCTACAGAGTTGCTTCATTTAGGGTCACAGGCAGGACTGCCTTGGACCACACTAACAAATGATGACATGTTTGCATACCATTTTAATATCATTTCCCATTACTCAACCCATGTCATATTTTCCAAGATGTAGTGACCGCAGACCAAACTCAGAATGGTGATCTGAGTGCAGGCAAGCCCACATTCAAACTACCTGTGTGTGTATTTCTACTCACCTTTAAAGCGCAGGGCATTGGCCAGTATCAGGGCTCCAGCCTTAGCCTGGATTAAAGCCGCTAAAGGAGCGACCTCCGGCCCACCGAGCACAGATTTAGCCCAACCATGGAGCTGCATCAGGTCAGCCTTGGAGTCTCCTTTCCCCAGTGGCTGATGCTGCAGCCTGAACTTGGCCTGGCTGTCCTTCACGAACGCCTGAGTGACCGCAGGAGCTTGCTTGGAAAACAGAGCTGAGGATGTGTGCAGGTGAAAGCTGCTCCCGTTGGCTTCAGTGAAACTCTTCAACGCTCCGGACAGGAGCTCCCCAGCGCGGGCTCCAGCCTTGGCAGGGGTTGTGGTCTTGAGGAGGTCTTGGAGCTGGCTGGCAGTGGTGCCCGCTGCTCCTCCACCCAGCGCTCCAAGCGAGGAGGCCACAAGCAGAGGGGAGAAGAGGGTGTTCACTGAGCTGGAGTCGGAGCGGAGGGCCTGGTACAGGCGCAGACCCAGAGCCCAGCTGGGGTCACCCAGAGGAGGAGGCGGGCGGGGTGGAGGGCTAGCTGGGGCAGCAGGGCTCTTCTTGGACGAATCGGCTGTGCTGCCCTGCGCCAGGAGAACTGGCAAAGAAATAAGGATATAGACAGGAAGCCTGGGATGCATGGCAGATCTAGAAGAAAGCACAAATACAAAAAAATAACTATTTGTGTCTGATACTAGGAATGAATCAAATACATCCCTCTCAATTATAATACAAGGAATATAACTCCTCAATACACATATTTTTACCGATTTTTAATAGTGTGGTTTTATTGCGCTGTTCATATTTGAGATAAAGCAATATAAACACAGCCTAAAGGTCCCCTCTTTGCTGTCTAACAGCTACTGGTGCAGACAGCAGCCCCTGCTCCTACAGAGCCACAGCAGTAAACCTGATTTTGTAAATTCCTCCCCACTTGACAACACGGTTATTATCTCACCCGCTGCGGAAAAAACAAGAGTGTGACAATTAACTTTGATGAAGTTTCAAAAGAAAGCTTTTTAGTCTAGGACTGAAAAAGTGGTTGAAAAGGAGAAAATAAAATACGTGTTTCCTATCTTGCCTCACAAACCCTCCTCCTCCTCCCGTACTCATTGATCTGCCGGTGACGGGAAACATCTGCTGTCTAGTTCAGCCTACTCTGTCATGATATCCGAAAACCTCTCGGCGACAAGGAAAGACGAAACGGCATATTTGTTCAAATTTACCGTTAATTAACTCAAGTTTTTTTTTTCTTCCTCTCCTCCGCTGCTGTCCTTTAAGCTATGTGCTCCAGAGGAAGTGGGGCTGGGACTGGGCTCAGACGTGGCAGCTCTCAGAGGAAGTTTACCGTCTCCCCCCTCAACTTCACCCCCGGTTAGCTGTCTGCTTCCCCCCGAAACTTCTAGGCGTCCCAGTGAAGCGGTGAAGGCTTTTGGGTAAAGCGATATTAGCCGGATTTATCTAACAAATAACAACCCAAATACCTCTGTAACCGCAGTGGGATACGGTTCTTATGAAAATATAAAAACTATACAACGGTTTAACAGTTACATACTGTGGAAAAGTCCCATAAAAGTCCGTGTTCAAAGCTGAATATATCGCCCGTGGATAAAACACTATGTAAACCCGTTTCACTGTAGTTACACGCAGCTAAATATACATCTCCGTGTATTAAAAATGTACTTTGCTTCGGTTAGGTCACTTTAAAGTCAGTTGTGGTATCTGTATCCAACTGATTTATGCAGGCATAATCCATTTATTCTTTACAAAACCATAATTAAATATCACAAAATCCCTGTAGGGATATATTATAGCTGTTCCCAGGGAGTTTGGCTGTGGTTAGGTGCGTGTAATGTTGGGGCCTGGTATAGGTTTTTAAAACGAACAAAAAACCCACCGGTTGCAGTAAATGAGGCGTTTCTCCATACATTCAAAAGAGCGCTTTGTGGCTTTGCTTGGATAATCAGCCCTCTTGTTCTTGGCTCACTGGGGGTTGTAGTTCCCAAAGCCACTCAAGCGGGGTCGCTAATGGTCTTCTCATCGCCTCAGCTCAGTGACCCTGTGAGACGCTGCAGCATGTGGGCCAGGGCCTCCCGAACTTGACATGCAGCCCTCCCCAGTGGACAGGATATGGACCACAGAGCCAACAGGAGGATGAGGCAAATCCGTCTCAGGAGTTTTTCTTTTAAGTTATTATTTAGTGTGAAATCTGTCTGCATGTTGGCATGTTAATTAGGGAATGGGCTGTAACACTTACATAGTTTTTAATACTAGTAAATCAAATTAAATGTGCAGGGGACACCCACCTACTCCACCTCACTTTGCAGAAATGTAGTCTACTGTCAAGGAAAACTAGGGCAGAACACGCAAGCCTGTATTGCATCTGACCCTTCCAAATGTCCTCATTCTGTATTCCCCTCATTTTCCATTTTTCCTAATTTGTACCCTCCCTCTCTCCCTACAGCAAGAAAAAGGAGGAGAGAGCAGATAACTTGTAACACATGGCTTTGGGATGGGGATTATTGCCCAAATTGAAGGATGGAGAATGGTCATATAGGGTCCTAATCAATAAATGTAGAGATAGACTAAGGAGGCTAGAGAAGGATCAGAGAGGGATATGGAGGGAGATAACTGCTCGAGACCACCAATGCTCGGCAATCAGGCCGAACATGACAGCTTGTAGACCCAACCAATTATTTACCACAGCCAAATCAATAGAGCTCTCTCCGAAAGATAACCATCAGCAGCACTATCTGGAACACATTCACAGCAGAAAGCACAAACACACACTGAGCACTCTCACTCTCTGTCTCTTTTGGAAAGACACACACACACACGTCCCTCGCAAACACTTATCACGCTTCCTTGGTAATAAGACACAAATCATCTAATTATTGGACATCCACACTGAAATGAGGAACATTTAAACAGCATATGTCGAATCGCATCACAGTGTGACTTAAAAGAAATACACACACTTGCACACACACACAGCAGACATTTGTTAATGACATTGGGGCTGCAACAACATGCATGCTGATAGTGATGGGTTGATGTGTGCAACGTCAGAGGTCTTAACCCTCACCGGAGGAGACGCCACCCCCCTCCTGGGACCCCCCACAGCGATAAACATGGCCAGTCTTGTCTGTAATGAGCAGTGACAACTACGTTTACATGCAGGAGATTTAATAAAAAGGCAAGGCTTTCGCCGCATTAACGAGTCCCTGGGGGAACGTTTGGGAACTGAGAAGGCCCCCTGAAGTCAGCGGATGTGCATCAAGCGGATTATAAAGGGATTGACTTTAAACCACAGTGCACTCCACATCTTACTTTTACTCCATCCTCCCCACCAAGGACCTACTGCACCCTCCCCCTGTTGTGCCCATCACTCTCAGCATCTCGTCCAACTCGAGCCCTGATTCAGTTTTCCAGCTCCAGATGTCATTTCTTAGGCAGTAAATTGGTATTCTACCGATCCACATGTTATCCGATTTATGCGCTGTTAGCCATTGTACTTGCCGTTTCGGGTTAAACGCCTGTGCTCAAGGGCTCGGCAACAGAATCAACACCTTGCTAATGAAAGCCGTTATGTTTAATGCAACCTAGCCAGAGCTATATCCACTCCCTCACATGCCTAGTCACTTGCTCATTATTTCCACGTTCTCCTCACACACTCAACCGTTTCACAATATTTTAGCGTTTAATGTGATCTCCCTTCTCTTCCGTCTTGCTCTTTCAGATGAGAATATGTCACTTCACACTACATTAGCTCAGCTTCTTAGAACTCTTTTTCCTCCATAACTCCTCTTTCCCTTCCTTTTCTCTGGGGGCTCAACCCACACACACAAACACACACAACAACACACACACCCCACACACACCACACAACCACACACACACACACACAACACAGTGTACTCTATTTCCTCCTTATTCTTCCTGGAAAAGAAGTGACATTCTAAAGACAGGCATAAGCAGGCATATACCTTTAGTATAAATCCTACTAAAAAAAAGTCATAACTTTTCTTATGAGAGTGCCTCCCACGGCGCTCTTCCCTCCCCTTTCCTCCACCTTCTCCACCTGTAACCCATTTCCTCTAACTTCTCCACCCCTCAAATGTCAACTCCTACTCTTTTCCCACCTCCCTCAGCTCTCTCCCATTTCCAGGCCGTCAAACCTCTCCCCGTCATTTCCATGTCTCCAGATTCTTGGAGGACTGTGCAGAACAAACAGTGTGTAACATGGAGCCCTTTATCTCGTCATTCTGGTCTGCCCTGTCTGTCGTCAGTTCTGGCCGTTTCAAACTCGTAGAGACCGGTTCAAGACCCTTCTGACAGGCCCACAGGGTCTGTTGGTTTACATCAACTTCCCTCGAGGTCCTTTCACATTAAAAGTGCTCTTACTTAAATGTCTGGCCAAGTCTGTAAGCTCGACCCATGATTTTACTGAGGCATTTCTTTAACCCCAGCTTCATCCAGCTTGAGATCTGGTGCCAGACCTTACCGTTCAATCAAGGGAAACGCAATAAAAGGATAATTGCAGGATTATTTAAAGGATCACAGCCTATGACTTTTGCAATTTTTATTAATCAGAAGCTTCTATCTTGGGATTTGGTGATGTTACATTTCTATTTCACTGTAACGTGAAAAAATAACCAGGGAAAGAAAGCTGGATAGAGGAAATACTGAAGACAAAGTAAAAGGACATACAAATATAAACCAAAAACGCAAATAGCAAAAACAACACTACAACTTGATTTTTTTTTTTGGTGGGATTGGGCGAGCGGGATGATGTGCCCCCTCACTGTGCATAACACCTCCCTATCACAAACAGTTTGAATGTAGGCAAAACTTACCAAGGCAACGGGGAGGTATGATAAAGAGGGAATATTGTGTTTAATCGATGCAGGAAGAGAGAGAGGGGGCAGCGTGGGAAAGGTGAGGGAGGGTCAGGGCGGTTGGGGTCGGGTCGAACATGTTGAACGTGCCAAGAATCACAGACCATCTTGCTGTTCATCTCGAATGTTCCAATAAGCCTTAAAATTGTCTCTGCAGCCCTGTCAAAAGTGTACGAGCTGCCAAGACAGAAGGGTTGTGTTTGATTTTCTTTCTTTGCTGTTGAAATATGTGTTCGTCACCTTTTTTTTTTTTTTCATTAGAGGTCATATAAATTACCCAAACTTTGATGCAATGCAGGAAGTACAAAAGCAAGGGTACCACATCTCCACACACAGCAAGAAGGCAAATAAGTTGGCTTTTAATGTGCTCAGTGAGTCAGGCAGAAAAGCAAATGCCAAGACCCACAAGAGTACACAGCTGCCTCAAGCAAGGTTTGACAACTATCTTTATAGGAATTAAATATTGCTCTTAACACCACCCCAAGTAACTGCCACACACCTGTGACTCAACCACTCAGGCTCAGACTCAACGGCGTTAAATCAACACGTGGCGCTTTTTGACGCATCACACTGAACACACGTAAACTCATATATAATGTGCTTTGCATGCAATCACACACACACACACACCACACACAACACACACACACACACACACACACACACAACCAACACACACACACACACACACACACACACGAAGACTGGCAGAAGTATGGGCACACACCATCAAAAGACAGATAGGCTGACACCCTCACAAACACACACACACACACAGACACATACACATAACTTATATCCTCTGGCTGTGAGTTTGCCAGCAGCCAGCTGGTACTGTCATGTCTGATAGGCTGGAACAGAGACAGAGACGGAGACGAGGCCGGGAGAGGAGAGAAGGAAGGAGGGAGGCAAGCTGGGAAAATGTCTACAACAGAATGCATTAGTGAGATTGGGAAAACTGTATCAAACCCTGGCAACTCATTACACTGTCTCATTTGGGTCCATAGGGAGTCCCCCCCCCAGTCCCTCATCCCGATCCTTTAAACTACAGGACATTTTTGTTTGTCCTCTGCCGTCTTCTTTTCTTCTCTTTTTTATCTCAATTTTGAATAACTTTTGTAATTTTTAAGTAAACTAATATGATCATGACCATGATCAATGGTGCATTGCATAAGCAAGAGCGCATGTTTTTGTACCAGTTGGTCTAATTGTGTATAAGCAATGTTGTTTTTAATAAAAGGGAAATGAGGAACATTTTCCTTGCCCTGCGAGACAAAACAGCCGTGATTAAAATGTTGTTGATCAAGACAAATCACTCAGCAATTATTCCACGATGTGATTTCTGGCTTTCAAAAATAAGCTCACACTTCAAATAGCCAAAAAAGCACAATACAAAGCAGTGCTATTATTCCAGTATTTTGAAATGTCTTAATTTGTCTCCAGACTAG